AAAAAAAAAATAAAAAGTGAATTTTTGCCATCCAACGTGACCCACTTGGTGCAGAGCGGGCGGGCGAGAGGCGGTGGTCGGCAGCAGGCCTCTGTCGCAGCCCCCCCCTCGCAGGAGAAAGGGGGGGATTGGGGGGGCGCAGAGCGAAGCACGCTGGCTGGGGGAGGGGACAGGGAAGGCGATAAGCCGTGACCAGCGAGGGTCTGGAGGAGAGGGGCTGTGCATGCGAGTTAAACCACGTTTAGGGGAGGAGTTCGGAGGAGCCGCCTCCTCTGGTGGGAACAGCACTGGAACACACGCCCTTTTCCTCTCGCCCAACTGCTCTTCCCCCCCTTTCGGCTTCCGACTGCTGTTTCCCCCCCTTTCCCACCCCCCCAGAGGGCTGATTTTAGGTGGTGGGGAGGAGGAAACCGTTGGTGGTTTAGCTAAAGGGGCTGTGTTCTCCCCAGCAGCGAAGGAGGGAGGTCCTGGTGTTTGTGTCTTTGGTTAAACAGCGCTGGACCTGCAGCGTGGAGCTGCAGGGGAATCTGAGCTACATTGTTGAATCGTGATAACTTCGAAAATCTACGGGATAGCGAACACACCATGTATCTGAAAGTTTGCTGAGGGGGGAGGAGTATATTCTTTTTTACTTCTCTCCTAAAAAGTGCGCAGTGAACTTGTAATTTAAATAGTCTTTATAGAGATATAGAGTAAGGAGTTTTGTAAGGTGTTCTTTGAATGCTCTGAAACTTTTTCATTTTCAACATGCTTTAAGTAACTGGTTGTACTTTTATTCCCAGTAAGCCTGGTTGGAGGTGTGGGTCCTAGGTATTTTGGATCTTTTGGAATAATAAATACAACATTAATAGAGGCTATAAAAATTACATACGTTCAGTTATACGTGATAGCCTTTGTATGCAAGTAATATCTCTAATATGAGAAAGTTTAAAAAATAAATGGGAACTAGGACAAGTTTGCTAAGTAGGGAGGTTTGGCACAGTGATTAGTGAAACGATTGTTTTTTCATAGCTCTTTTTTTGACCAGTAGTGTATTCCTGCATGCAGAGGTAACGGCAAATAAAGCTCAAAGTTCCAGTCTTAGGGAATTGTCTCAGGTCTAAAAGGTGGATTAACAGGAGTGGGTAAACCCTGCTCTGAAGCATCAGGCTTTGGCATTTTGCAAGGCAGGATGTTGGACTGGATGGACTAGTGGTCTGATGTTGAAGGACAGTGCCTGTGCTCTGAAATACAGCGGGGATGTGACTTTGCTGCTCAGGGTGACACCTCAGTGTACGTTCTGCTGGTGATTTACTTCCCAGCTCTGGAGTCTTGCTACAGGTAAGGAAAGTGTCACATCTTTAAAAGTATAGATTCTGAGGTTTCTGGTATTAAGTAACTCTGTAAACAACCATTTATAACAAATAATTAAAAAAGAAAAATCTCCATGAAAAATCCTGCGGTGTGTGAAAGATCTGACTTGTCTTACCCTCCGTTGACAGGCACTGGTCTACAGGAAAATAAAGTGCCAAAGTCCAGCAGGCTGTTAGTAGCAGAAAACCTTTTGGCACGTGTTGGGAATAGATTAGCAACCCACTATCTAGCCTTTTCGGGGGGAAAAATGTAAATATTCAGTGGCTAGTGTGTTATATTGCTCTACTAGGTAGTTACTGGAGAACTCTCCTAATAGATTTAAATCCAAAACTTTTAGAATTGTGTACTTTTTTTTTTTTTTTCCCCCTGGATATCTTAGCTAGTAATATAAAAGTCTAGTGAATGGTTCCTCATCAGAATCAGATGTAGTGTTGCAAAAGTTTTCCTCCATTCAGTGGTCTTTGAATTAATTTATTATTATTATGTGCTAGTTTCTAGTGAATATGTATGCATCTAAGACAATGAACTTAATAAAGTCCGACGTATGTCCCCAGTTTCTACTTGCTGGTAGAAGACTGCCTTAAGGGTGAGTTTGGTTGTTGAAGTTGGTTGCTTAAAATTATAAAGAAGTAATAATAAAGTCACAGTATTTACAGGCTTCATGTGCCTGGCACTTAGAGCCAAGTCCTTTCTACACAATTAAACTTCTGGGTGGATAATGATGGTATCTGGGCTATTGTTAGAAAAGGGTAAGAAGTAAAATGTAAAGGAACCTACAGTTATTGAACCTCTCTGCTTGTAGAGGGTACTGTAAAGGCATTTGGAGCTGGTGGCTACATTATTATATCCCTATCCTCAAATATAAATGCAATAAAACATTTTGAGCCACTCTTTTTATATACAGCATCAATTAATGTGTGTTAAGGAAGAATTCTGACTTTAAACTTGCTGGAGCTTGCTTCTGCTTTTCCTTGCTGGTCACTTTCACTTGCTGGTACTCCTGCAAAATGAAACCATCTGGGCAAGTATGGAAATCACAGGGGTTTTTTTGGTTTGTTCATTTTAGATTAATTCATAACTGAGTTTAATGGTATCTCAGTGCTTCAAGGCTTTAGTTTTTCTTTATTAGTAGCTCCTGAATCCCAGTCTTCCACTGGCACTACAGTGGAAGGGTGGTCCTTGGATATTTTACTTGCAGGAAAAAATGTATTGAACAATTAAATATAACTTGTCATGTTGCCAGTGTTGTACCTGGACAATGTAAAGTATAAATATTATGATTCTGGAAAACATCCATGGGAAAGCAACACTTCCTTGGGGACTGGCATTTAACCTGAGTAGTAACGTCCAGAGATAAGCTACAGACACTTTCCAGATAAGTAAAGAGATAAGGTACTTGCTCTGAAAACTTTCAGTCTAAAGAGAAACAGAGAGCAAGGTAGAGGTACAATAAAAATCAAAATACCAGGAACAACACAGGTTGCAGAATTTATTTATTTTTGTTTGTGTGTGTGTGTTTTGGGGTTTGGTTCCCTCCCTCCCCCCACCGCTCTGCATCAGAAACACTTCTATATTGTATCTTAAAATCTCTTCAATTGTAGTCAGGGTGAAATGGAGGATGGGCACAAGACTGCTTAAACTGTTGCTGCATAAATCATTTAATTGTTTTATGGAGTTTCAAGTCATGTGTATCCCTAAAAATTCTGCAGATACCATGAGCAGAGCCTAGTCTTACTGACGTTTGGAGTTACACCAAGTCCAGACCCAAACACTGACCTCTGTAATTGGGAACCTCTAGTCGGTGAGTCTTGTCTGAGTACAGTTGTGCTGATTTTTGAATAGACTAACACCATAGTGATGTGTTGTAGGTACATAACTGTCACAAGGCTTCAATAGTTCAACTTCTGATGCATAATTATAAGTGAATGTTCATTTAAGGCCTAGCACTGCGTATTTGCACAACTTTGAAAATACATATAAAAAATACATCATATCTTTTTTTCTATCTGTGTATAAAATGACACCAAAGGGGTGCTTTTAATGGCAATTTTTATTGATACGTTGACTTCCAAGTGGGACACCTTTACCAACTGGAATGAGAACCAGAAAGTGAAAGTGACCACTCCCTTACCATGAAGAAATTTTGCACAACTTTGAAAAGACATATAAAAAATACATCATATCTTTTTTTCTATCTGTGTATAAAATGACACCAAAGGGGTGCTTTTATTGGCAATATTTATTGATGTTATGTTGACTTCCAAGTGGGACACCTTTACCAACTGGAATGAGAACCAGAAAGTGAAAGTGACCACTCCCTTACCATGAAGAAATACCTGTAACATTTATCACAAATGCTTAGTTTGATGGTTATATTGGTTAAATGCTGTAGTTGAAAAGAAAAAATTATCTCAGTAACCATTTAATCTGTCATTCATTTTATTTGCCATGTTGTATAAAAAGATAAGTTGTTACTTCTACTGGTAATAATTTGACCTAAATGTTCCTTCAGTGCACCATGAGATCAGTTACTAGCTTTTTGAAGACTCCTTTTGTGGATTTTAATGCATTTGGAAACTTCTGGGGATCTAAACATTCCCTTTTAAAAAACCAAAAGCTTTCTGACTTGATTGTTAGTTTTTATTCTGATGTGTTGAGTTACAAAGACTGAGGGTTTAGGGACCTCACTCGCTGAAGGTGGGGTGCTATTGTACAATTCTTGTTCAGTTGAATAGACATTTAGTGATCCTTTTAAATGTTAATATTGCTTTTCATCGCTTCAAAATTTCAGCTTGGTAGGCATCAAGTATGGGATGTAAGAATTACTCTGCATTTCTGAGTTGCTATTAAATTATTTGGGTATTACTTTGCTAAGTAAGTGCTTCTGATGTAACGTGTTGATGAGTTACTGTTGATTCCAGAACTGACAGTTATTAGTAAAACCTTAGGCTATTGGGACCTCTCTCTTTACCTTTCCTCCCTCAGTCCCTTCTCACACTTTAAATGGTAAGCTGAATTAGCAAGTAAGTTATCGTAAAATTTCAGTGCATATTTTAAACCAGGTTGAACAATATCCATCCCAGATGTCTACTAGACTCTATTTTAATGCTCAGCCTAACTGGATTTTACAAATAGTTTATTTTTATGTCTGGTTGCTTGCCTTAACATCTTGTAGTTTTTGCTAGTGGCAAAGAGATAGTCTTCATTGATAAAACCAGCAATTTTTTTTTTTTTTTTTCCCCTGGCTCTTAACCCCAGTGAATTTATCTGCTGTGTTTTTATCACCTTGGTGTAATGAAAGATGCATCCTCTCTTTGCAAGCTCGTAGCTATTAAGCATTGCAGATCAGTGCTGTTGACAGTTGTGAAGAAAGCCCTAAGTTGATCTAAACGGAGTGAATGATGAGTATGAAATGAGAGAATGGCAGGTAGGAGAGCAGTTCCTGTGATGTTTCTGCCCTTGGGAGCTTCTCTGGTTCTGTTGGGAAGACTCCTGAGTTTCTATCTTCAGTACTAGCAGTGTGGCTATTCCTTCAGCCCTCCACCCTTCTCCTTGCCCTGCAAAATGGCATAAAGCAAGCCAAAGAGCCTTGTTTTCCTGTTTTCTTCTGCCATAGTTATTTTTTATTTTCTATTTGATACAACTATCACTGCTCCTGTTCACAAGGTAACGAGAGCCCAGCAGGATTCACTTTCTAGCTGAAAACAGGGTACAGTGCTTTGGGAGAGGAAGGACATAGACAGTGTTTTTCATTAATGTTATATCTGACTGTGTTATGTTTTCAGTACCCGATTTAATATGGGTCTCTGACTGAAATAAGCAAGATGAAGTTGTCTATGACCAATTTACTACAGGGTGGCAAAATTGCAATTTCTGTGATGTCGGAAACCATTCTTTTCCAAAACTACTAGAACAGAATATGTGGCAATTCTATTTTTTTCCCCATTTATGCTTTTAGAGGAAAAAAACCCCTAATACCTGATAACGACACCAAATCAAATGTCTTATTTAGTTACTTAATTGTTATTCAGATACTTGCCAGAATAAAATAAGCGATTTCACCAGTGAGATGGATCAGGAGGCAATCTTCAGCAAGACTGCCTGTTGGAACAGGAGTCTGAGTCCCTGGATGGCACACCGTAACGAGCTTTGCCAATCATTGTACTCCTAAATTGGTATTTTCCCTTCTTCGGAGGGGGAGTGAGCAGCGGTGCCATAGCACGTTGCTGTTGTACTTTGTTCCACTCACGCATACTCTGAAGCTTGGATGGGATTCAGCCTGTAGAAATGACTGGTCTTGCCTTCCTTTTGTTTGCTTGTTTGTTTTTTTTTTTTCTTTTGTTGATGAATTGGTGGATTTTTCGGAGTTTAAATGGATTGGTGTAGGGTTGAAATAAAATAATCGTGCCCCTTCATCTTTTGGAGGCTGCTGCTGTAAGCCATGAATGGAGGTACTTGTACAGGAGGGTGACTTATCATTGATTCAAATGGATCAACATTTGAACAGAACACAACATTTGAATAGAACACAACAACTTTTGGGGTACCTTTCAGCTAAACAATCTTATTGGCAATGCATGGTGTTGATCACAAAGTGCAGTTAAGGGAACTGCATGTGGAATTCAGGAGCCATGCCCTGCAGTGCAGGAGTGGGGAAGGCTTTGGGGTTCATGTGCTGGATGGAGCCTGTGGTGGTCACTCTCTGCAGATGTCCTCGAGTCTGTGATGCTTGGGGGGACACGTAATCCGCTGCTTGTCTGGCTTTTCTAGCTGTAGAGGTGAGCTCGTGTGAGGATTACTGCATTACTGCAAAATCATCAATGGTTTTGGGTCAAAGGGACTGTAAAAAGCACGTGGAGGGGTGTCTGAGTCTCTTGAGCTGTGCTTCCTCCTCCCATTGCGTGTCAGCCATGAGAGGTGGGTGTTTGGAGTCTCAGTTTGAGGTGTTATCAGCTGGAACTAAAATATAATCCAGTCACACAGCTGTCTTGGTTCCCTTGAGTAGCTGTATCACGGGGCAGTTATGCCCTCTCAATAAAGTATTTGGGACACGTGCTGAGAAAATAGCTAACAGTTACTTATATCTTGGTTTTTTAGGTTTTGGTAAGCTAGAGAAACATCTAATTTTGTTGGCAAGTGAGACATTGGTTTCAGTAATAGCTGCTTGTGTAGTTAGTTCTAATTTTGTCCAGAATTGGGTGTTGCATTTACACTGTTAAGGGTACCTTGTTACTTGTGCTTCTTCCAGTTTGGTTGGAGAGCAGAGAAGGTGCTGATGAGGTGAAGAAAGTCTGAGTCCATGGTCATTTGCTCTCCAAAACCATAGGTTGGGTGAAATGCCTGTCTCCTGCCATTGCTGGGCCTGGTGACACAGTGAAGCATTGTACCAGCCCTCTTCTATCTTGTTAGAGCATCAAAGTGACTAATTGAGAAAGCTCCTAGAGGTCCCCAGTGAAAACTTAAAATACTTTAGAAACAGGGAACACGTGGGGAAAAAAAAGTATTGAGGAAAAGATATGTGAGCAAACACAGTTAGAGTGAGCTGTGAGAAGCAGAAATTCAAAAAAGAGCAGTTAGGAAATGTTTATTTAATTCATTATAATATTTTTATACTCTTTTTATACCTGGAATCTAGTCTTAAACTTTGAGACACGGTGTTAGGGGGAGCTCTGGCTTAATGTTCAGGTTGATGCATTCTTTAAATGGGTCTTTAATCTTGAGGTGCAGGCACTGCTTTAAAATAGTGAGTGATATCTAATGATTTATATATCATTTTAATAATAAAAGAACCGTGTGGCATAGGTTAAGATGACTCTTCCTCACTGTGGTCATGAGCCATAAGACAGACCTGCTTATCAAAAAGCACTTTGAAAATCTGAGAATATAATCCAGTCTATTATAATAGTTCCTTAGAAAAATACTAGAATATCCCGTGTGTTCATTTCTGACTTCGAAGGCGGAGGTGGCTTATTTAGGAGAGTTTTCTTGGGATGTTTTTGGGCTCCAAATTCTGCACTGGAAGCAAGGATATGGCACTTCCTTGTTACTTGAATAAAGCTTTTGAGTCTCTGAGATCATGAATTGCTAATTTTATTTTATTTTTCTCCCCTGCTTTTGAACAGGAACAGGAAGGTGGTCGATTACTCCCAGTTTCAGGAATCAGATGATGCTGGTAAATGACTTTTTTTTTTTTTTCTCCCCTTCACAATGTAATACTTTTGGGCTAGAGCAGTTCATTTATGGCTTTGCATATTAATTGTTTTGCTTCTAGTCACATCTTTAACTTAAATTCGAAGGAGTTTCTGCTCTTCGCAGTCTCTGAACTGTTAATAAGTATTTGAAAATATAATGATTCTCATATGTTTTGTATTAAACAAACAATGGTGATAGAAATCTTATTATTTAATGCTTCTATTGTTGTAGTGCCCTGAGGCTGTTGGCAGCAACTCTCTTCTTCCTTGGTCTATGTTATGTTCTGTGGCAGAATCTCCCTGATGCCACTTTTTTCTCCAGTAAAATATGTTTTCAATTTATTTTAGTGGACTCTAGTTAATCCCATATAGTCAGGCATTTTTGTGAATTGCATCTAAAAAAACCCCAAAAATCTTTACATTCTGTGTGAGTTAACAAAATATTTCTGAAAGCCATATGGAATATGTTTTGTGTTCTTAGAAAATATACATACTGCTACTGTGCTAAGTGAGGTTGCGCTGATAATTAATGGAAACAAATATGCATAGTTCTTGATTGCAGTCCTGTTACTCATATTGTATAAAGTATTGTGTAATAGTTGTGAAAAGTTACACTGTAAACTACTATGTAATGGCATCCTTTTTCCCATCTGAGAACAGTAAATAAAGTGCATTTAAAAGCATGTAGAAATCTGTATGGATGTTAGCTTTTAATAGGTTTACATATAACTGTTTCTAACTAGCTGTAAAATGAGATACTGTGTCCTCCTGTGAGGCTTTTTCTATGTTTCCTAATAGTCCTGTGTCAGACTGGATTTTATGTGGCATTTTTATTGTGCTGTTGGCAGCAAAAAAAAGGTAAATCACTAGTTTAAGGCAGGACTTTGGTTCTATAAAGTTTTGTTTGAAGCTTTGTGATTTTATTTTTTTTTTTTGAAGGGCTTCTTTTTGATGTGCATGAAATGATCAGTTTAAGTTATAGCTGAGGAAGTCAGTTTGCTGGGAACTAGGAGTTTGATTCAAAACCATTTTGTACTGTCCCGTCCAGATGAAGATTATGGAAGAGATTCAGGTCCCCCATCGAAGAAAATCCGCTCGTCTCCCCGGGAGGCTAAAAATAAGAGGCGATCTGGGAAGAATTCTCAGGAGGACAGGTAAAAGCAGCACTTCATCTGTTATCAACATGTCTCCAAACCTTGTCCTGTGTGTGGGGAGCAGTATCTTATAAGAGAAATGATTGTAAGTGGAAGGCAAGCAGTGTAAGACATACAGCTCTTGTTCACAAGGCTTGCACAACCAGCTTGGACACTGGGGTGGTTCTTTCCTATCTGTGTAGACAGAGAAATCATGTGTAGAGTACTTGTCACTTGCACTTCATCATTAAAATAGCTTTCAAGAAGTAGACAGTTGGAATGGCAAGGAATATGATCCGAGTTACAAAAACTAACAACTAGTACAACTATCCAGGTAAGTTAGGGGGAAGATGCATTTAATTTTTCATGTTTTTTTGGTATGCTCAGAGCATTCCTGTGGTTAAAGATTAAATGGGATGGTAAAGTGGCAGTTAGGAGTAGGGGCCCTTTTGTTAGTTTTATGGTTCATTGTTTCCCATTTCCTGTTTTGTCTAATTCAGAAACAAAGTAACTTGCTTTGATAACTGAAGTGCTCTGGCAGTGTGAAAGGACTCACTTCAAACTGAGTGATGCCCCACTGTGTAGTGAAAGTCTTTCCTGTAGAGAGGAGGTATCTTCCTATTTACAACTCTGGTCAGCAAATGATTGTCAGAAAACCTCATAACTCAACTGACTGCTTTCATGACAGACATCAACTTCAGGGATGGAGGTTCTGCCAGCTGGTTCTTAATCTCTAAACCCACAGTGTCTCTTTATTCTGTTGCACTGTTTGCTGGAATATAGATAATTTACCAGCAGGTATGCTTGAGCTTTCACCATCTTCCTCCTATTCTTGAAGCTGAAAGCTGACTGTAGGCATGGGAGTATTCACCCAGTCCATCTGCTGTTGTGACTTGAGAGGGAGAGACTATTTTCACCCCAGCAAACATCCTTAGCACCTGAAATCAAATATTTAATGGGAACGATATACAAAGAAGTTGAGCTAGGCAGCTCCCAAAAGTGCTAAATAGTTGACTGGATGTCCTATTAGCTTTAGGGATTTTTAAGTATGTAAGAATGTTTCTGTGTTTATCACCAACATTGCAGAGGGCTTGCGTGTAAAACAAACTCATGTATTTAAGTGATTGAAATCCACAGTTATCTGTATGAGACTGAAAACATATGGGCCTGTGGGGCTGCAATGTGACAAGTTATCTAAACTACTAGAGGTCTTGAGATGTTGTGTGTCAGCTCCCACTGCCAAATTTGAAAGTTGCAAAGGTTTGATCTATCGTATTTCTTGACCTTGGCAAAGTCTGCTGTTCAGCCGTTCTTGAAGCATATGTTGTACATCAATGGCCTTCTCAGAGTATTCCTGTTTAAAATGCTTGTTTATTCTCTGATTGGAGTTCACGTTCCCACATGCCGGTAGGAAAACCCTCTCTGGGACAGTGGTAATGACTAATGATGAGTATTTGGATAAGAACAGATCATTAGTACCTGCTTGATGGGGATAGCCTCTGGTGAGAATTGAAACCACTAGAAGGGATTGAAACTCCATCAGAGATCAGATCGTTTGGCAGATTGGAGACCAGAGATATTCTAGTTAAGTGCTCTGCAGAATGAAGGAGTCTAAAGAAAGCAATGACATAAAGACAAGTGATCACTATAAATCTATTCAGAATACAATGCACCCAGAACGAAGGAGTCTAAAGAAAGCAATGATATAAAAACAAGTGATCACTATAAATCTATTCAGAATAAAATTTTATTCCATTTATTGATTCAGGCGTGCATTAGCATATAAAACTTCAAAATTCTAACTGTAAAATGGAAGACATCTGGATTATTGTAGGTTTCAGAGGGAAGTGCATGGTTCATCTCAACCTTGTTATTTCCTGGTTGGTTCACTTGATTCCACGTACGTCTGTATGTGCTTCAGAGTTTGATCATTATCTTTCCAACCATGATAATTACATATACAGTTGAGTAATCCTGAAATGTAACGTGATAATGTCCAGGGAAAGTGCATATTCCCATCTTGGAGACCAGTTTGCTCTCTCAAAATTTGTATTTTTGATACAGCAGTGACTGAAATAGAAGTTAAACCAGCAGTCAAACCCTGTCTTTCTCTCATTTTCAGTGAGGATTCAGAAGAAAAAGATGTGAAGACTAAAAAAGATGATTCACACTCAGCAGGTAACTAACTACATGGTACTGATAGTGTGTCTTCAAAATAAAGCCCAGTTTTTAAGAGTTACCAGGAGTAAGATTTGACAGAGGAAAGAAATGTCTCTGACTAGAGAAGTGTGTACTTTTCTAATACACTTGTCTTCAGCTGGATGCTGCCTCCCCTGTTCCTTCCAGCCCTGGTTTGGGATAACATGGTGGGGTTTTTTTGGTGTAATATGATACTGATATAAAGTTTATCTTCACAGGTAGATAGATGTATGTTAATCTCTTCCTTCTAGTTCTCGACCGTATTTCAGAATGATACAAAAAACTTTATATTTGTGCCTTTTCCTTCCAGATGAAGATTTTGGCAGTGAAGATGATGACTTAGGAGCAGATGATGGCAAAGCTGACAGTGATTATGAGAGCTCTCAAAAAAGCAAAAAAGGAAAAAAGGCTAAACCAGAAAAGAATAAGAGAGCAGCTTCCAAATCCAGGAAAAGGCCTGCAGGTAAAAATAAAAGGGTTGTGGTCGTCTTTGCAGTGACAGATCCTGCACGAGATCATTGTTGGGTGACTACAGAAACGTGCTTGTGGGGTTGGATGTGACTGTTCTCACTGCTCAGTTATTCCGTGAGCGTCTTGATTAACTTTCTGATGAATGACTTGACCTTTATCTTGCCCACGTGCCACCTGAAGACAGTGGTGGTTTTTATTCTGTATCTTCATTCTAACTTGGTGACTTCTGCTGCAGAGGACAGCGAGGACGAGAAAGAAGACCACAAAAATGTGCGTCAGCAACGACAGGCAGCATCCAAAGCAGCTTCTAAACAACGAGAGATGCTCATGGATGATGTGGGTAGTGAGGAGGAAGAACAAGAGGACGATGAGGCACAGTTCCAGGAGAGTGAGTAAATGAGATTGTAAAAAGTTAAAATCAATGTGACGGGGGTGTAGTACCAGCCGTGAGTTTATGGGTCTGGAAAAGGACAGCAAAAGGAACACAGTTTGCTTTTTGATTGTGACAGTGAAGTTGTTCTTCTTGGTCATTTTTTTAATACTGCGTGTCTGTCCAACTGACCAAGCTTATGTTTTTCACATCTAGAGTTCTGATTTGAAGTTTGCAGCAAAAATTTATGTATGTCTTTATAAGCAGCCCTAAAGGATTATTTTGAAGATCTTAACGCTCGTTGCTGCTGCTTGCTACCCCATTGGTTTTGAGGCGTTGATGTTACTTTCAGGAGATAAAAAAGTACTTCATCCTTGATAGATCAAAGTAGGATGGTTTGTTTCATAAGAAGAGATGGGTTCAGGTGGTAATGAACTGCTGTAAGTTCGTGGAATGCTGAGTGCAAACATAGTTTCTGGGTGAAGTAAGAGTGCCATTGAAGAGATCACTTTTCTCTGTCAAGAGATTCTCTTTATTTTGAGATGGGTTACTTATATTCTGAGAACCACAAATCACTTGCCTGTTTCATCATACTAGTGCTTTATCCCTACCAGTGTACAGTCTTCTGCTCTGTCAGATTTCTTTAGCACAGCAGAGAGGTGGAAGCTCATAATTTCACAGAGTTCTGGTTTCCTGTCTCTGCCGTTTAACTGGCAGATCTCTCAACTGTATCTTCCGCTCCCGTTCCTTTTTTTCCAAAAACTTAAATTTCTTTATGCTTTCAGCAGATTCAGGAAGCGATGAAGACTTCCTCGTGGAAGATGATGATGATAGTGACTATGGCAGTTCAAAAAAGAAAAATAAAAAGGTCTCCAAGAAATCCAAGCCAGAGAGGAAAGAAAAGAAAATGCCGAAGCCCAGGCTAAAGGCTACAGGTGAGTCTGAGGAGAGTTACACAGTTTGCTTTAGAAGCTCCTATTTTCTTTTTCTACTATAGAAGACTTGGTGGAAATCTTGGAAGCCCTACAGTGTTGAAGGGCTGATTCATGTAACTCGCCATGATTTAAAGCAGTGCTGTGAAATAATAGGGTGGCTTTAATTCTTTCTTAGAAGATTGAGTTAGTATATATGTCCCCGTGGTGAAAATTGTGTAGTTTGCAGCACAAACTACACCCTTCCCTTCCTACTCAGGGAGGGTTTTGCAGTCTGACTTTCTATGTCTCGTAGCCAAATAATAGAATTTGTGCCTTTGTTTGGAACTCATGGACTTTGTGATGTTTTCAGGGTGGAGGAAGGTGGAGAAATTTGAACGAAAGGAAAAATTGATGCATTTCTGCAGGAAGTCTAAAATCATGATAGCAACGTATGTACTGGTTTGACAAGAGGTTAGCTATGTTAGTTTATGATGTCATATCCAATAGTTAGTCAGAACTTGCAATTAAATAGTTATAAAATCCTGTTAGTTAACTCTTCAGTTCAGCTTTACTAATATGCAGTGCAAAAAACACTGTGTGTGGTATGATCAAAGCAAGATGAAACCTGCTACTAAGTATCTCATAAATCCTGTTGTTATAAAGCCATAAGACTTTTTTTTTTGTCTTTGCCAATTGTAACTTTTATAAGCTTTTTCTTTTTCCAGTGACCCCCAGTCCAGTGAAAGGCAAAGGGAAGGCGGGCCGCCCCACAGCTTCCAAGGCAACAAAAGAAAAGACCCCATCCCCCAAAGAAGAGGATGAAGAGCCTGAAAGTCCCCCAGAAAAGAAAAAATCAGCCAGCCCTCCACCAGAGAAGTCAGGGGATGAGGGATCTGAAGATGAAGCACCCTCTGGTGAAGATTAAATGGCAGTTGAGGAAAATTTTGTTTTAAAAAAAAAAAAAAAAGGAAAAAAAGAAAAAGGAAAAGAAAACATACTTAGGGGTAGAACACGGTTTTGGCTGTGGCTTGACTCATGGGCTTTGAATGCTGTCTTTACTTTCAGCTGTTTAATACAGTGTATCCTTTTTTTAATAAGAGGAAACCCTTATACAGTAATATTTTGAAGTCAATGTTCTCTGTTGGCCATTCCGTTCTCCCTCCCCCACCAAATCTGAAAGCCATTTGAGACAAATTAACAGACCATTTAAATATATATTTTTTTCAAGGGATACTGCAGTTGTGAAGCAATAAGGTTTGAGACTGATACGTGGAAACCATACTTACAAATCGTTAAGTAGAATAGATTTCCCAGTGCTGGTAAGAGTTCTTTAAAGCTATTATTCTGTATTTGAATATGTGGAAAAGATTAACCTATGCTTTAACAGACTTTTGTTGATACAAGTTCACTTTCAGAAAAAGATGTAGTTGATACGAATTCCAATTGAGGAAGATGAAACACGGGGAGGAAACCTGTGTTTCTTGGATTCAGGCACATTTTTCATGGAAAGCAATCAAGAGACTTGTAGATTGTCCACTGTCTTTTATTTAGAAAAGACCCTCCAATTAGGTTGCGAGATCTTTTGTCTTTGCTGGATAGAATACTGGTCTGCTTTAGGCAAATTGCAGTTTGTTCTACACAAATTCAGATACACGAGCTTCTCGCATCCATTAACTCTTATTTTATTTCTTCCAAGGTTGGCTGTAGCTGGGCAGAATAGGGAAGAGAAATTGAAATCAATTTTTTTAAAACTCTGGTTTCCATTTGGTATTGTGGAAAACGTCTTTAAAGTTTTTCCGAGGAGAGGGAAAAAAAAAATAAAAATTGATGGTTAGCGTTAAACTAAATTCTTCAGCTTTTGGGGCGAGGGATGTCCTTTTATCCATGTGAAGCAAAGGATTCCTGTAATGCTCTGGTCAGTCTCGGATCCCATGAGTCACGCTTAAGTGTTTCTCTTCTCTCCCCCCATCTGTCCTCAGAAAGGCTTACGTAGTCGTACCTCTCGGCCTCTCCAGCTGCAGGGCTGGACACCAGACTTCCATGGATACTCAAGAGCACCCCTGAATCACTTCCATTTCCTCCTCCTCCCATCCTACGCTGGGAGAGGGCTTTGCTCCCACTGGGAATGTGTCTGCTCCTGCCTGTGGCTCTGCTCCCTGAGCCTCTCCAGGGCTGGGTAGGGAACAGGGGGAAGGGGTGAAGCTGGGAGGAAGCGGAGTCAGGAAGGCAGCGTAAGCAGGGCTATCGTTTTTGTAATAAAAGCAAGATGTCCCTCTAAATGCAAGACACTTGAGATGTGTGTGGTGGCATTTTAATGTGTTTTTATCAAAGCAGCCATATCCTTTTTTTAAACTTTAACTCAACTACCCAAGCCTTGGTTTTCAAAGCCTAATACAGCGGTTGCTGCCACGTTTGTTGGTGGAAATATTGAAAACTGGACCTGCCATTTTTCTTTCTTTTTTTTTTTTTTCTCTTAAACCCTTTGTGCTTTCTGTACGTTGCTCACGGTTATCTTACAGCTGACAAGCTTTGCATCTTGGTTTTTTGTTTTTTGGTTTGTTTTTTTTTTTTTTTTTGTCACAGAACTACACGTTTTGTAACCAGCCTCTTGAAGGTAACATAAGGCAGCTAATTAGACGGATTTCTGGTGCACATGCTACCAGATTTTTAATCCTGTTTGGATTTTAGAGAGCTTGTAGATGTGATACACTAATATGACCAGGAAGGACACTTGGCTGAATGGCATAGGGAGCCTGAAGATGCTGAGCACAGTGTGGAGCCTAAAATGTGGAATGGAATATGAATATAACAGCCAAGTGCTTGTCTTGTGTGATTCATAGCCCTGGATTTTATTGAGGCTGGTAAATTACTTTACCTTGGCTTATAAAAAAAATTAAGTTCTCTAACATTCTTTACTATAATGAAACTACTGTTGCCGTTACAATAAAGATGATCAGTGTTTCCATTGTAAATCCTTTTATTTTTAAAGTGGTTGAATTTTGCAGGACAGTTTAAGGCTGGTGTGAAGTATCAGTCTTGGAAAAGAAGCGAATGTAACCCCCTCTCCTCTCCCATACCTCTTCTCACCTTCCAGGTCTCCGGGAGAGCAGAGTCTCTTGCATTCCCTCCACTCCCAGTCGAGTGCTTCTTGGGAAATGAATGGCCAAGTTCTAAAAAGTATTTGGATTAAATTTGGGGATAACATACACTTTTGTGAATGTCTGGTCCACGTAGTTGTTCCCCTTCAGTGCAGACTGTGTTTCAAGCTGTTCTTGTCTATGAGGTTCTTTGAGATTTTTTTTTTTTTTGGTATTAAAATGTGCAAGGGTTACTTAAACATAGAATACCTCCAGCTGATCTGGTCAAACAGCTGGTTCTTTACCTGCTAGACCAGACTTTTTTCTGAAGTGTGTATTTTGTAAATTCCATTTAAAATACATTTTTGGGGTTTTTTTTCTAACACGGTTAACTAAAGGCTGTGAAAAATACATTTCCGTTGTTCTCAGTTCAGGTTTCGGACTGGATTAATTTAGGCCTGGCAATTCTGGCCCTCGATCTTACAAAACTGTTCTGCTTTTTCCTGTGTTCATCTCTGCTGGCTGTTACAGGCTGCATGATGCTTATCTTTTTGAGTTTGTCACAACCCAAACACTATGTAAATCCTGTACTACTTCTGGGATTTTGTAACTTTTTCTATACCTTACTGTTTTGCTGACTCTGCAAACACTAAGCCCTAACGGTCTGTTGGTTACTCTGTTAGAAATGCAGCAGTTTACATTTTTACAGATAGAAGAAAATTATGAAGGTTAATACATATTTTTTGGGTTTTTTTTACTACACAACATTTTTCGGTAGCTGCAGACTTCACGTTTTTAAATGTCCTTTTTGATTAATTTGTATTAAGCATTCTGATTTCTCAGAAGGAAAGCTGCAAAAATGCCTTTCTGTAGGAGCATGAATAGTGCTTCATGGAGCAGAAAGTTTCATTCACAGACGAAGGCTTTGAAAAGATTGTCTTCTGTTACACAGCTGTAGTTTTGGAGACTTTGCAGAGAGGTAAATGGATTTATTCCAAAGTTCAGTTAACTTTGTACCCTGCCCTGGTCTTATTCTTAAAATAGCAGTGAACTAACTTCCATTATATAGCCTTTCGTTCGTTCTCTTCCTGAATCCACACCACCACATTCAGTTTTGTAGTTAAATTTCAATAATTCTGCCTTTAACTGGCCACCGGGCTTGATCAGCGAAAATTGCAATTTTAGTTGTAATTCCATACTAAAGATTATTTCCTTCGGTTTGTTTGATCAGCATGAGAATGCCAAACGTGTCAAGCTAAGTGAGATTTGGAATGGATTGTGGGTGAGAGCAAGATTTAGAACCGGGGCAGCCGAGAAGCTTTTTTAGTTTTCTTGGTTAAACTTCATCAAAGCAGCAGAGTGTGGGGAGAGGAGCAGCACACCCTGGGTGGCTTCTGGGGAACCTCCCTGATGCATCCTCAGCTCCTCTGCCACCACAGGGTGACATCCCCAGGTGACAGGCTGCCAGGGCAGGGGCAGAAGATGTGCTTGAATTCCTTTTTTTCTTTTTTTTCTTCTTTTTTTTTTTTTTCTTTCCCCCTCCGCTGGTGACAGTCACAAAGGTACAATAGACACTGAGGCACCCAGGTTTAAGGAGGGAGGGAAATAAAACTGTAACATGCTGGAAGCTTTTGAGCTGTAGAAACTGGTGCTTTGCTTTATGTAATTTGTTTGTGAAGTGTTTATTTTTATAACAAATCATATTGTTGAACACATGGTTCTTAAAAAAAAAAACAAACTACAAACTGATCCATGAGTTTAATATTTGAGAAGTGGATGTTCATCTGTTGGGGGAGGCAGGATATGAAAATGTAAGCAGATGGATATTTAAAGGGACACTGTCACAAAATAGTTGCTGGCGTATAGGAAATGTTAGTTTGGGGGACTCACATCTATATGTGGAAATTATATATTCTATATGTATATGATCAAATAGAAAATTTTCCCTGAACTTTGACTATTTTTTTTGGGAGGTTTAAATACAAGTTGTGCTAATGAAAATAGGAAGCGAAACTTAACTATTATGTTCTTACTGTCAAGATGACTTTTCTTTTTTTTAAGTACTCTGAGGAGCATGAGCTCTGAGAGATGACAGTGTCCTTCCGAGACCTCCCCAAACCGAGCCTACCCTCGTTTTAGACTTCCCACTTCTGTAGATGACTGGCATTTGAATGTCTTTTCATTGAACTCTTTCTATTAAAACACAAATGTTTCTAAGTCTAGTCAAGTCCTCACCATGTGCTGACTCTTGTGTCTCAACCACTATTGGAAGTGACTCTCTAGACTGCCTGCCCCCTCCGGCCGCCGTGAATCGAGTGGGTCCATCGGCCTCGGCACGCTCAGTGTGACTGCAAACACCATTGTGCATATGCTTTGTATATTGGGGCAAGGGTTTTTTATATATATATTTTGGGAGGGGTAGTGGGTGGGATGGAGAAATACTCAATCAGCTTAAGCCAGAATAATGTGTGTAAAAGCCCCTGAAGTATTTTGTGTGTGAGTGCGCGGGTGTGAGTGCGCGCATGGGAGTGTCTGACATCTTATTCCCTTTTGTGTTCTGAAGATTTGTGAGTTTTACTATTATTTTTTTTTTTGGTGACGGTCACAAAGGTACAATAGACACTGAGGCACCCAGGTTTAAGGAGGGAGGGAAATAAAACTGTAACATGCTGGAAGCTTTTGAGCTGTAGAAACTGGTGCTTTGCTTTATGTAATTTGTTTGTGAAGTGTTTATTTTTATAACAAATCATATTGTTGAACACATGGTTCTTAAAAAAAAAAACAAACTACAAACTGATCCATGAGTTTAATATTTGAGAAGTGGATGTTCATCTGTTGGGGGAGGCAGGATATGAAAATGTAAGCAGATGGATATTTAAAGGGACACTGTCACAAAATAGTTGCTGGCGTATAGGAAATGTTAGTTTGGGGGACTCACATCTATATGTGGAAATTATATATTCTATATGTATATGATCAAATAGAAAATTTTCCCTGAACTTTGACTATTTTTTTTGGGAGGTTTAAATACAAGTTGTGCTAATGAAAATAGGAAGCGAAACTTAACTATTATGTTCTTACTGTCAAGATGACTTTTCTTTTTTTTAAGTACTCTGAGGAGCATGAGCTCTGAGAGATGACAGTGTCCTTCCGAGACCTCCCCAAACCGAGCCTACCCTCGTTTTAGACTTCCCACTTCTGTAGATGACTGGCATTTGAATGTCTTTTCATTGAACTCTTTCTATTAAAACACAAATGTTTCTAAGTCTAGTCAAGTCCTCACCATGTGCTGACTCTTGTGTCTCAACCACTATTGGAAGCGACTCTCTAGACTGCCTGCCCCCTCCGGCCGCCGTGAATCGAGTGGGTCCATCGGCCTCGGCACGCTCAGTGTGACTGCAAACACCATTGTGCATATGCTTTGTATATTGGGGCAAGGGTTTTTTATATATATATTTTGGGAGGGGTAGTGGGTGGGATGGAGAAATACTCAATCAGCTTAAGCCAGAATAATGTGTGTAAAAGCCCCTGAAGTATTTTGTGTGTGAGTGCGCGGGTGTGAGTGCGCGCATGGGAGTGTCTGACATCTTATTCCCTTTTGTGTTCTGAAGATTTGTGAGTTTTACTATTATTTTTTTTTTTTTCCTGCAGAAGCAATTGTTACAAAAAATAATTGTAAATAAGAGCTACATAATTTTTGTTTAACCATGAACATCATGTCACAGCAAACCCTGAATAATCACTCTTGAAGGTAGAGGAGGAGACTCCAGGTCGGGCCTTGGGCCCTTGGCTATCAGCAAGGCATCACTCTATGGTATGCAGTGAATATTTGTCTTGAGTATTTGCAATCCCCTGTTGAGCTTTTTCTAAAAATCGGGCTCTTTGCAGTTCCCCTCCCCATCCCTTTTAATTTTTATTTTTTTTTTCCTTTTTAAATCTCAAGAGCAGACAGAAAAAGGGGCAGCTGCAGATGTTCCAGCACCCCTGGGTCCCACCACTGGGCCCCGTGGGGTTGGTGACTCTTGCAATACCTTGACAATACTGAGATCTACCGCATGGTACTAGGAGTTCAGTCTGAATGTAACATTAATGCTTTATTTAAAATAAAAACGACACTTATAATTTTTTTTTTTTCTTTTCAAAGGGTTGAAGTGAACATGACTGTTGACCATGTTCGTGAATTTATAGATACAACATTCATTGGTAGAATTGTGTGATGGTCTTTTGTGCTACTTAATTTTACATATTCCAGTCTCTGTATGTACCTGCAAAGAAAGAAGAAAAAAAAATAAATAACAAAACCCTGCTTTGCTTTTATTGAAGGGTTCCCAGGACTGCATACCTGCTCCTGAGCTCTGTTTTAAGTATGTGTATCCTTCGCTTGTATTTTGTATTAAAAAAAAACCACAAGGAAAAAGAACCCTTTATTGTTCAGCATGTTGGAATTGTGTCCCCTCTTTTATTTTTTCTCCTTTTTGGAATATATTAAGCAACTCATTCTTCTGTATCTTTTATTTTCTTTTGTAAACTTTTTGGTTTTGTTTAAAAATGGCTTTATAAAAGGGCTTTTATAACCCATGAACATGACTTGTGTACTTTTTCTGCTGTTCAAAGGTATTATTCTCCTGCGGTTGCTGCTCTGTGAATGTTAGGGAGATGTAAAACCCTGCTTTTGGTTTCTCTGATGTTTTGGGCTTTATTCCTCTGCAGAGCTGGTGCTTCCTCTGAGGAGGGTGAGTTGGGTTTTTTGTCCAGGCCAAGTTGGTGACTGTAACCTTCACATTACTGCTTGCGAGTTGAGGGGAAGATGTAAAGACTTAAGCTGTAGTGATGGTAAAAACCACAATCCCTGGTTTCACGGGCTCTTCCATGAGAGCTGTGAGTTGAGGTTTTCAGGTTCAAAGCCAATTATACAAATTGATGATGAGGAGCCAAAGCCATTTGTATATCACGTTCGCCTCCATGAGCTTTTCCATGGCCATCGATAGCCTTTCTGTGTTGCCATCTAAGCCCTAGTAGTGACAGTCAACACTCAACCTCTTCTTTTTGGGTGTCACCCGAAGGAGGATAATTATCTGTGTCGGGAACGTGCTCTAATTCCTCGTTAGCTGGTTGTCATTGCGAATGCGGAGGAATTAGCCCCGCTGCTGCTCTCATTCTGGAGGTCATGTTGCGCAGGGGGGTTGTGTTTTTAAGAATCCCTTTATAGCATTTTTTCCATCTGTTTTCCCGCACGCTCGGCACCCGTGTCCCGCAGCCGCGGTCTCCTCCGCGCGTTCCCCCGCGCTTCGCCGCCAGGGGGCGCTGGAGCGGGGGGGAGAGCGCGTTCCCCGGCGGGGCGGGCTGTGTCGCGACGGGGAGCCCACGGCGCGGGGTCACCTCCGCGCAGCGCCCCCACGCGTTTGGGGCGAGCACTGAGCGCGGGTGCGGTTCCTCGGGGGGAGCACCCAGCAGCGGGGGCTTCTCGGAGGGTTTGGGATTGAAAATTTTTTCACGGAAAGGGTTCTCAGCCATTGGAATGGGCTGCCCAGGGAGGTGGTTGAGGCCCCATCCCTGGAGGTGTTCAAAAGCCGGGTTGATGTAGTGCTGGGAGGTCTGGTTTAGTGATGGTGATGCTCCTTGTTTGTTGTGTGGGTGTCTATTTTTGTCAGTTAGGTTGACGGTTGGACAAGATGATCTTTAAGGTCCCTTCCAACCTAGAAGATTCGGTGATTCTGTTAAGCTTCTGGGATCCGAAGGGACCTGGTTTTGTCCCAACAGCAAAAACACGTTTGTGACCTTATTAAGCAGGTCATTTTGGGGTGTCTTGTGCTCGCCCCAGTTCAGCAGCTCACTAACGAAGCCGTGGAGATGCTCCCACCCAAACCATTCTGTGATTCTACAGCCTCTTAGACGTTTGGTGCTCCATACAATTGGGCAGGAGACCAGGTTGCCATCACCCCCAGCTGCAGCAGAGGGTGGTTAATGTATTTGTTTTCACTGAATTTCACTGAATTTTAGAGTTGGAAGGGACCATAGAGATCATCTAGTCCAACTCCCCTGCTGAAGCAGGATTGCCTAGAGCTTGTCAGAGCATGTTACTCAGGAGCATCCAGGCGGGTCTTGAAAATCTCCAAGGAAGGGGACTCCACACCCTCCCTGGGCAGCCTGTTCCAGGGCTCTGTCACCCTCACCGTGAAGAAGTTTCTCCTCATATTTGAGTGGAACCTCTTCTGTTCCAACTTGTGCCTGTTGCCCCTTGTCCTCTCACTGGGAACCACTGAAAAGAGTCCGGCTCCCTCCTCCTTCAACCCTCCCTTGAGATACTTGTCAGCATTGATAAGGTCTCCCCTCAGCCTTCTCTTCTCCAGACTAAAGAGTCCCAGCTCAGTTTTCAGAGGCTGTTTGGGGTATTCCATGAAATGCCACCTCTGTTGCCCAGCACAAGATCCCATACACTTACTGACAGCCCTGAGCTGTGCCTGGCTGCAGATTCAACTTCTCTACCTGCTCTGGTGGTTTTATTCCATAGCGTGGTAAAATGAGGTTATGCAAGTAGGTGTGTTTGGTGTTGGCTGCTGCTGTTGACAGTGGTGCTCCAGGCTCCTGGAACGGAGTGGTTTAATAATAATGCAGCTTATGGCATTCCTCTCTTTTCTTTTGAAGCATACCAGCCAATTAACCTTGACAGGTATTCCTACCTCACTCCTGTGGTATCTGCAGTTAAACGCTGCGGTCCTGACACGATTCTTTATCTGGAGCAACTGCAGAGTTACCTTTAAGGTACTGCTCCACTACTTCAGGTTTAGGTTTAATTAGCAGTTAGCAGGTGTGGCCCTTCTTTTGGCCCCAGAAGTAAACACTAAGAAATGTTGCCGTGCTAGGATCTGTGACCTCTTTTTCAGGAGCTGCTCTTCTTCCCACCGTCTCCGACCATCCTCTTAGTGCCTGCAGCCTCTGGCTGCTTTTCTCCTCTTCTGAACACAGCCTGTTTACTGGCTGCTCGGTCCTGTAGGCAGATGCTCTGCCAGCATAAGTTAAAAGTTCCCCTTGGCTTTGTAGTAGCATTTTACAGGGAATTAATACCAGAAACAAAACGATTTGTTTTCAGGTTTAATGGATGCGCATCTGAGACGTGGACACGCAGGGGGTTTTGTAACCACAGCGAGCTCTGCCAAACCAGGGGGGGATAAGATTCCCTTGGCAAAGAATCCGAGCTGTCAAGGTTTAATCTAACAGAATTTTGCCTGGGGAATATCCTGTTTGTGTTTCTTTTGGTAGTCTTCGGTTAGGGGATGAAAATAAAGTCAAGAGGAGGAATTCGAGATTAGATCTGGTTTCTGCAGCACAGCTTGTTTTGGCCCTATAGGTGGCCTTGAAAGACTGAGTAAATGGGACAAAGTTGATTTAAGGAGCTGCTGTTCTGTTTTTGCCCAACTCGTATGTTGAAGGAAACCTGGAAAAGATGTGGAAATAGGGAGATTTCCCAGCAAATTCCCTCTACTTCAAAAAGCATATTTTTAGGTATACGTTTGACGGAGCAAATCACAAAGGGACAGAGAGTTTTTTTTACTTCTTTCACTGGTATTCAGGGTCTGTGTACCACGCAATGTGATAAATCAAGTATAGAAAGCTATCACTGATAACTGAAACTGTGGAGCTGGTACCAAGGCTGTCCTGGGTGTGCAGGGTGAGGAGAGCACGGGGCTCTGAAAGGTGTCTGGTCTCTCTTTGTTTGTGGTGTATTGATTGAAAAGCACTAAACATCTGTAAGGTGTGACACGTTAGACTTGAATTCGTTCCGGGAGCGCTGCTTGTGTGTTCATAACCACATCCTGGGCTAACACACGTCTCCAGCTTCAGAGTTTTAGGTAGACCAGGAAATGGTTTTGTGTATTTAGTTTTTTTCTTTTTTTTTTTTCCTCTTTCTGTAGATTCAGGTCAGGTTCAAGTGCTGTTATCCCACGGCGGGCACCCATCGGAATGTGCTCTGCCCCCGTGAATGAAAAGACCATTTAAGGGATTGCTCCTTTTCAAAATCAATGCTGAATTTAAGTCTATAGGTCAAATTCAGCCCTTGGCCTTAAACCCTGGTTGCGGTTTGGTGTCCTGTGTGCACGTGTTTTTTGATGGGCAACAAATGAAAACCAGCTCACACAAAGTCAAAGCCATTTCCTATTGTCTTGTCAATAATTTTGCAGTTACCCTTCAGAATGATAAGTTTTGGTTTGTATTCAAGGGTTTGCTTTATAGTCGCTTGCAAATTCCGTAGCTTGAAGAGAGACTGGTATTTTATTTGAATAATCTCTCTTCTTTCAGGTTGAATAACATTTATGTTTTGGGTAGATAAGATAACACTTCCAGCAGCAATAAATTTCCTGTTGTCACACTATCTTTTTTCCTTAAGCATTTCTAAGTAAGCAGTTGGCCTCGTTAGGAGCTTTTGGTTAGCATTATCAATTAGTGGCTTTTCCTAACAGTGAGGTCTGTTAGCTTTGTTCATTACAAACATTTTCAAACATTTTTGATTAATTGAAGTGTTTTATGTCTGAGAACTCCTGTACTCCTCCTCTTCTGAGATTAAGCTAGTACTGATTTTTATTTTTTTTTAATGTCTCTTTCTGCTTGGTGTTTTTTTTTTAGTTAAGTGTTCTACTGAGTGTTTTATAAAGAGGATATTATTGTAGCTCTCCTAAAGCATGTGCTGTGTTTCTGCTTCACTTCTGAGAAATGAATGAAGGGAAGGAATAGTTCGAGTAGAATCCTATTTATTGTATAGAGCCATCACTACTTTTTCCTTAAACTGGCCTTTTTTTTTTTTTCTAATTTTACTTCACTGCTGATTGTGCTACTGCATTTGAGACAGTTCTTTCTGTTCCCAGGAACAGTTTAGTGCATTAAACTACTGGGTGACGCATTTGTGAAAGGCAGACCAGGTTTCATTTGGAAGTGACTCAGGTTCTGTCAGTCTTATTCACATTAAACTGGTTTTGCGCCTTTAAATGCGTAATATCACTTAAGTGACTTCTTAAACATTTTTCCCAATTTCCTTCTTTTGTTGAGCAAGGGTGCCAAAAGGAAAAAGAAAATATCCTTGGGTGCAAGTCCTTGTTCTCACTCTTGCATCTTTCTCCCGCCACCCCCCAAGAACATTTAAGTGTAAGAGACCAACTTGCAGAGTTTTACAACTTGTGTTACCCCTTGTATTTCATTTTCCCAAGTCAGTTAAATGCAAACATAAATATTCTTAATGTGAGTAGATCACTTTGAAAAAGAGAGTTGTTTTATGAGTGCTAAACGTTGCTATCTTGGCTCAGATCGAAGGTGAGCTTGTTGGATATTTGTTTCTTTCCAGAAATATGTCTTCAGTCTGCTTTAAATTCATGGACTTTGCCTTTCACTGGCCAGGTCTCTGCTGGATGGCCATGCTGAGTGTAGGTGAGGACAGAAACTATGAAGTATCCTTTAAGAAGGGCCCAAGCCATAGATTCCTAGAATTGTCTGGGTTGGAAGGGACCTTTAAGATCATCTAGTCCAACCGTCAACCTAACTCTGATAAAAACCATCACTAAACCATGTCCCTAAGCACTATGGCACCCCATC